AAAAAAGTTAAAAAAAAAAAAAAAAAGATCTCCAGCCCTGACAGAGCTATCCCATCCATTGTGCCCCAAGGGTTAACCAAGCAGTGCTGAGATCAAAGTATGCACACATTTAACATTTAAGGGTAATTGCTGGTTTGCTTCTGATAGTCTAACATCTTAAAAAGGAGTGGGAGGACTGGGGATGTAGTCCAGTGGTAGAGCATATGTCTAGCATGTTCTAGGCCCTAGGTTCAATCCTCAGAATCAATCAATAAATAAATTTTTTCAATAAAAGGGAGTGGAAGCCAGGCATAGAAGTTCATGCCTATAATTCCAGCTCCTTGGGAGGCTGAGGCAGGAGAATTATAAATTTGAGGTCAGCCTAGGCAACATAGAAAGACCATGTCTCAAAAGAGAAAAGGCTGGAGGTATAGCGCAGTGGTAAAGTACCCCTGGGTTGAATCCCTAGTACCAAAGCAAAACAGAACAGGAAAAGAGAGTGGGTAATCTGATGACCCATACTCAGCCCAACTGAACACGAGAAGGTCCTATTTACAGAACTTTATTTTCCTCAAAGCACTTTCATATTCATTGGATACTCATAGATGTAAGCAAACAGGCAGGTATCAAGATTGGACTGCTCTAAGGAATTGGGACATGGCCACACCACATCTCACCCAGGTAAACAACCCAGAGAAATTTACTGACTAGTTCTTGGTAACACAGAGTCTCAGTTATACCGCTGTGCCTACCCTCACTTCAAGGACATAGCTAAACCCAAAACTACTAGACCAGTCATATCCCTTTGTTCCCAGTTCTCAACAAATCAACTAACCATAGCCACTCATCCGTCTTTCCCCCCTTACAACTTTCTTTCTCATTCATTCTTGCATTTTGGTAAGCCTATGCTCCACTGTGCCTGATTCTATGAGTGTATTTGGTTCCTGTCCTCATAAAAAGATTGTTAAGAATAGTCAGGAAGGGCCATTTGGTCCTATCAGCCTGGTTCCATACTCTCACCTGGCTGTACGCTCCACCACCAGTATGTGCCAGGTTCCCAGAGCCACATAGATGGCCACAGCAAAGACGCAGGACATCACCAACCAGGTGAAGTCCCAGCTGGAAGAAAAAAGAAAACCAGAAGTTCCCTGTTTTTAAGGCTGTGTCCTTCAAGAGCCAGGTGGTAGCAGGCACAAACTTTTTCATCAAGGTGAACACTGGTGGTAAAAACTTCATGCACTTGTGGGTGTTCAGGAATCTGCCCCATGAGAAGAGCCCCTTGACCCTGCTCACCTACAAGACCAACAAGGCCACGCACAACGAGCTGAACTGCTCCTTTCTTTCTTTTTTCTTATTGCTCAAAGAAGCTTCATTGTTTTATTTAGTTTCTGACTCTGGGCTTGTGCTTTCAACACTTTCACAACAATTTTCTGTTCCTCAATAAAGAAAGCACTCTTGATCCTGTCACGGACACATTTAGCACACATGGAACCATCATAGGCCCTGCTGACATATTTTTTGTTTGTTTTTGTTTGTTTGTTTTAGACAATCCCATAAGGATTTCACGTCTCACAGCATGAACCCCTCGAAGTCTGCCTGGGCACACACCACATGCAGATTTTGGTGCTTTCCCAGCTTTCTTTGTATAAAGGTAAACAATTCTATTACCAGGGGTTTGGGACAGCCTGGTTTTGTTAGAGGCTGTATAGACACCGTCCCTAGAGAGTGAACTGACCTATTTCCAGTGCTCATTCTGAAGAGGGCCCTTTGTCCACATTACAGATCCTTACAGGTACTCTCTGTTGTCTACAGCATGTAACGCCATCTCTGTGCTGTGCCATCGCGGGGAACAGGGACAGTACTGGATTAAGCAGCTCCTGTCACCTGGCGGTTCCAAATTTCATTAGATTTTTTTTTCTTTCCAATTAATGATCTTAATTACTTTCAAGGAGAACCATACATCATCTATTTTAAAATATGTATATTTAATGCCTTTATCTTAAAGAAAAAGAAAGAATAGTCAGAAAGGGTTGGGGTTGGGATTCAGCAGTAGTGCACTTGCCTACATGTGCAAGGCCCTGAGTTCAACCCCAAGTACCATCCCCCCAACACAGAAACCTCAAAGAATAATCAAAGAAGTTAACCATAGTTCCATTCGGGTAATCACAGGGTGGAGTTTCCCTGCCTCATATCCCCGGGCTCACATCTCTCCATCCACAGCTGACGATGGACAGTGCTACCACCTCCCCATCTCATGCCCTGGAACACTCTGCTTCTCATCCTGCAAGTTTTCTAGAAAGCCAGGTCTGTGCCTCTCTATGCTCCAAACAACCCTGGAGTCCCTGGGATTTAATACCTCCAGAGGCAACTCTCAACCAGTAAAGAACAAAACTTAGTGCAATTGAATCACGCTGGACTGTTATCCAGCCCTCCACAGACAATTCTGAGGGGTATTCAATATGATTCTTCCAAGGGTCCACAGTGATACTCAGCCCCATTGCCCACTGCTGTAACCTATTCAACCTCACACTTAATTTCATTGACTTTTCTTCTTTCTTTACCTCAAAGGAAAGTGATTTCTGGGATCATCTCCCACACAAATTACCTGAATCCAACTTCTTATTTATTTTGGCTGAACCCAAACTAAACCTATTACATGCTAGACACTCTTCTAGACACTGGGGATACAGTTGTGGAATAAGGCAAAATGTTCACTGCCATGGAGTTTATTTATAAATCATTTTCTAACCATCTGTTATCAGGGAAAAATTCAAGCAATTTATCTGGTCCAGGGAGCATTCAGGTTCTTGTCTTATCAATTTCCTCAGTGCCATGGTGCTTTACCCCATTCTGTCAACTATTTGTACCAGCAATTCAGTCCTAATTGTGTTTCCCAAATGTGCCCAGAGGGTGTATGCTCCAGGGTCCCAGTATATGCCATTCTCTCTATATTACAAGTGCCCCCTCCCCAACAAACTTTGTCAATCTTATCCTAAAAATCTAAGTTCTCCTCTGTGACCTTCCCCACATCTCAATCACTGGAGCAAAGTGACAGTTTGCCATCTACAAGGCATGGAGAGGGGCTTGGAACAGATTCTCCCTGTCTGCCCTGCTGACCCCTTGATTTCATATTGCCAGCATCCAGAACTGTGAGATCACAAATTTTTGTGGCTTAAGCAACTCAGTCTATGGCATTTTGTTAAGGCAGCCCTAGAAAACTAATACAAATGGCTGGATTTCGTTGGAGAGAATTTAGATATATTCTACCTGAGAGAATAATGGTGCCACTGTACTCATGGTAGGTCTGGAACCTGAGACTTTGCATTTTAAAGAAATTTTAGATGATACTGATGCCATTAGTCCAAGGACCACACTTTGAGAACCACCATCTTAGAAAAAATGTACACATAGGTACACAGAAGACATGTATAAGGATGTTCAAAACTGTGTTATATATAATAGTCCCAAACTGGAAGCCTATATATCTATCAACAGTAAAAGAGAGGACCAGGTGATACAGCACTTGCTTAGCATGTACAAGACCAGGGATTCGATGGCTTCATAAAATTGGATAAAAAAAATTTTTTTAAAGAATACATAGTATATAATCCCATTTATATACAGATTTAAAATAGGTAAACTATCTCTTCTGGACCATATTCAGGAGTTTGGGGACTGAATAAAAATCTCTTTTTGGCCTTTATCCAGTTTTTTCCATTCAAGAAGAGATGCCACAGAGAATAAACATGGCAACACCCTGAGGCGCAGCATGACCCAGACAGCACTGCTGAATACATAAATTAGTCTTTGACAAGGGGTTGTTGTTTCATTAATTTAGGCAAGTCATTTGACTTGGAAGAAATATGATGCAAATAGGCCACACGTTCTAGTTGGTATCAGGGTGGGATGAGTCAAACTAAATTAAATGAATAACTACTAAACTTGAATTGACAGCAATGAAAAAAATGCTGTTATCTTAAAACCATCAAAGCCCAGAACCTTGGAGGTTGGCACTGGAACTCTTAGAAAAAACAATCAATTGGATGGTGTGTCATAGTTGCCTCTTCCCAGTAGGAATTCAGCCTTTTCCCTAGGTCCCAGTGCTAACGCATTCACAGATATGGAGCTCCTTAACTGGATGACAATGTGGCCTTAAGTATACACAGTGGATCTTCCTCCAAGTCTTCCCCAAAAGGACCCACAGCCATTTACAAAGTTAATCATACAGGGGCAAAGGATATACACAAACGCTCCAGGCTACTAGAAACCTGTCCTGAATGGAGATTCATCCACAAAAATATAAGATACCATTGTGAACACCATCAAGGTGAGAATCTATGGATGTCAGGTAATAAATGGAGTTGTGGTCACAGTCTGCCTTATGATAGTTTACTTGAATTGTGGACCCATCCTGTAGTCATGTCCTGTCTCTGAATGTATGATGGGAATA